TTCCACCAGGAGAGATACTGAGAGCTTGCTTGTCCGTGTGTAGAATGATCTTCTTCTAGGCAGTGCTGGATATCTAGCTTCCCTTCTTTGTAAATCCTGTTCCTTCACCCGTCTTGCCTACAAGTCCTCAGTATGTTGCTGCGCTCACATTACACCAAAAGGCAGCTATATACTGAAGGGAGAGGAAATCAGTGATACCCCCTTTTACTTCATGTCAGTATTTATCACACTCAGGAAAAAAGGGTCAAGATGAAAACCCTCCTTTGAGCCTATTTTAACATAAAAATCACAGTCTTTAGGGCTGTTCTCACCTTTGGCTTTCTTTATCATTCCAATTGAAGCCATTCCATCTTACATGAAGAAAGTGAAATAGTTGAGATTTCCCTGCTAGGTAATGTTTAGAAAGTTTGAAGCTAAGTTCATGTTTTTCCAGGTAGCATAAACAGTTGAACATAGTCGTCTTTCGTCCTGGGTGTTAAACGCCATTAAAAAAGACAAAGAGACTGAAGGGAAAAGACAGACTAGGCGTAACAGAGTGACTCAGGAAAGAAAGGTGAAGAAACCCCTGAACTAGCACTGATATGATCCATCTGCGCAGCACATTGCATCCCTATCTGGAGAGAGTAGGTGGAGACAGTCAGCCTGAAAGCATAGATCCTGCATGCACAAGCACTGCAAAGTGTGAATCGATGTTATCTTACCAGTGCTGTACTGAATATATTTTACTGTTCCCTCTACCACTGCTCTAAAGCATACTATAAGCTATGTTAAGGGCTGGGCTGACATTTTATTCTTCAGTCCCCAGCTACTCGTTCTATTTTTTAACACAAAATTACGCGTTATACAATATATAACGCAATAATCAATATCATTTAATCAAAGTGAATCAGCTGTGCGCAGCTCTGCCCTGAGGCAGCCGGATCCGTTCTGGCTCCAGAGCACCCCAGTCAGCAGCAGGACAGCGTTTCAGCCCTCCTGCCGGAACGCCCTCCGGCACCTCAAGCCAGAGGAGCGTTCCCGGCAGGAATACCTCGCCTGTCAGTTTGCCCTCCACTGCCTACCCAGCTTTTCCTGAGAGCCAGATTCCCCTTCAGCAGGCCAGTTGGGCTTCTGCTGATTGCTCAGATTTACTGGTATCAAAAGCCCTGTGCGCTGTATGGGCAACTTGGGCATTTCATTGGAAGGTGTGATGCCTAGTAAGCACCAAATTACCTTTATCCTTTGTGCCTTTAGCTCTCTGCTCTGACTGAATGACCTACATTTCTTCTAGAACCTGGGAAGATGTCCATGAACCGATTTTCAACTTTATATTTCTTGGTAATGTTTGCATTTTTGGGCTTTCAGCCACAGTATGAACATCTGAGGAGTTTAAAACGTAACAACTGGACACTGTGCAGAGTACAGTGCAAAGAGACTGCATTTGAGAGCTTGTACCCCTCAAAACCCCCAGACCCTTCATGTGCTTATAAGATGTAATTTTTGTATTTAAGGATTTGATGTTGAATGAAATTTGTTCTGTGCCAAGGACAAGTGTGAACCCTTTACGTGTATCAGGCATGGGATTATGTTTAATTGCTTGAGATCATCAGTTCTGGCCCTCTGCTCTGCTGTGGAGCCAGGAAGCTCATGCAACTACTTGCTAGATTAAAGCTTGCCTTAATATTTGTGTAAGGCTGGATTTTTAGGGAATTAAATATAAACTTATCTGTATGCTAAAGTATTTATTTATTTACTTTTGTATTTTTCAAAGCAGCACAGATTTCTCCAAAGATTTCAGAAGATAACTGGGAGTTTGTGAAATATTGAGTGAAACCTTATAAATTTTTAGCTATTCTTCATCAGTAAAATTACAGTATTCCCAACGTAAGAGAAATGATGAGTGAAACAACACTGAAGGTTTCATGTTGATATGAATCTTCTGGAAGATAAAAGATTATGAGTGAGACACCCTGAAGGGATCCTCTCATTTTCTGCATAGAGAAGCATTGCACAGAAACACATGCAAAATGGTAGTACCCTTCCAACTGCATAATAAACATTTCCTACAGTTGTTTGTCTCTGGAGTGTGAAGACTCTTAAGAGGAATAAACTGAATTATCCTTCACTAATTCCACAACTTATTTTTCTAAATGCAGCATTATATGTAAGCTGAATCATGAAGATATGATTCAAAATATCAGTAAAGGAAAAAGTCTCTTTGAGGTTGTTAATACTCTGGATTATGAAATCTTTCTCTGATTTTGTCCCTGAACACTAAGACTTCCTTAAGCTCTGGGTTTGTGGGATCTTCCCAGACGGATCACGTTATGTGGATTTGTGGTGAAGTCCATGAAGAGTACATGGTCTGTAGGTCACATGGTTCAATTTTTTATTTATGTTATGTTATTTATTTATGCTTTTTATTTATGTTTATTAATGTTTATGAGGTTTTACTAACCATACGCATGACCAGTACCTGATAGGAACTGAATCATTTTTCATGAAACTACACGTGAAATGTGAACATATCTTCGTGATATACCATAGTTTCAGCTCTGATGGTTATTGTGCAGCCTTGAAAATTATTCTAGGAATAGTGATAATTTTAAATTCAGTGAAATTAGAATGATCATGGAAATGATTTCAGTGTCCAGTAGAACACTGCAAACGCGCATTACAAGTTAATCTTGTTAGAAATTTCCTGACAAAATATATTTGATTGTTTTTTAATTAAAAAGTCTTATTTGCAAAACTGGAACTGATTATAACGAAGGATTTGGCTTATTGATTTTAACAAAGCATAAACAAAATGGGAAAGCAAATATTTTTTTTCAGTTTTTGCAGTGTAATTTTCATAATAAATGTATCTGATTTTACTACAGCATTTCTTTAAGCTAATTTTATTAAAGGAAATAATGTTCTAACTTCATATCCAATGTTTCAAAGCTGTCAAGATAATTCTGAGTGAACTGAATTGATATTTCTTTCGAGTTCTAGCTTGCAAAACCTGTGATGCATCACTGTTTCGGGACAGGAACAGTTTTAACATTTCCATTTTCCCTTCAGTTTGTGTATCAGCTTCCAAGCCAGTGATATCAGTGAACTTAGCAGAAGTTAAGAGCAGGACAGATGCTTCACAGGCATCAGGAATCTATGCAGTAATAGCAAAGAAAGCATCCAGTTATAATGCATACAAATACTCACGCGGAAGGCAAACACAGCGGCGCTGCCAGGCCTGCCCTGTCCTAGCCCTACTGCCCAGGATCAGAGCGAGGAGCTCAGGAGCGGGCTCCGGCCTCAGACCGGAGCTGCTGCCGCAGCCGCTTCTCCAGTGACTTGTCTTCCTCTGCACCTGTACCTCATTCTGCTGATATCTGTGCAAGTGCCACCCCAAGCGAGGCGATAAATTGTCTTTAACTTCTACATTACTCCAAAGTCCTTAATGCTTATGCCTTGATGCAGCTTTAATGGTGTGTCAGTAGCGAGCCCCTTCATTTCGTAAACTTTGACCTCCTGTGGAAATTCAATATCTAGTTTTAGGGCCTTTTTCTGATTTGAGAGCTAAATATTTTATGTTATTAAGGAAATTTAAGTGACTCCATGTTGCTGAAGTTGGGCAAAAATGATGTTATTATTTAACTTGTTTACATTTATTATTTAAATTATTTAGCTTTTCACTTTTCTATTCAAGCCTGTAATTTTCTTTCTTCTATTAGAAGTGATCTATATTTCAAGGAAACAAAATGAATATGAAAATCAATGGTCCATTTACTAACATCTTCTTAGGTAATCCATGTTCCTTTAAATAACTATTGAAAACAATACTGAAACAACACGATATGTACACAAATAGGACATTGATAATATACAGTGCACCGCAGCTTAGATACTGAAAATAGGCCAGCACACTAGTCTCAAAGCTAGCATGCAATATAGGTACAGTAAGTAGACTTTTCACTTGAGGTTTACTATCTGTTTTTGTATGTGGTGTCCCTAAGGTATACAATAGTACAGATGAAACTTTCTCAGGTACGGGAGGAACCCTCTGGCTCTACCTTTCAAGGTTCGAGTCAGTAAATATTTTAAACTGGCTGTTATTAGTTTCTTAAATCTTGCTGGTGATGTGCTTCTTCACTATGGGACCTCAGAATAAATGTCAGGAATAATTAGCCGACATTTGGT